AATCATCTCAAACTGGTTCACTGTACTCCAATGGCCTCCACAGTCACCAGCTCTCAATCCAATAGAGCACCTTTGGGATGTGGTTGAACAAGAGATTCGCAGCATGCAGCCAACAAATCTGCAGCAACTGCGTGATGCTATCATTTCAATTTGGACCAAAATCTTTGAGGAATGTTTCCAACACCTTGTTGAATTTATGCCATGAAGAATTAAGGAAGTTGTGAAGGCCAAAGTGGGTCCAACCCGGTACTAGCAAGGTGTACCTAATGAAGTGGCCAGTAAGTGTATATTCAAACTTAAGCAGACGTGATATAATCAATTTTCATCAACTGTGCAAGAGCCACTAAGGCATTGATTTTAAAGTGAACCTGTACGCAAATGTTGACTTTAAGCTACGTTAACAGTCCTGCTGTGAAAGAATAAGATACAGGCTGATATTCTTACCTATCCTGGAGAAAACACTGTCCCAGGCCTCCTCCAGTTCTGTCAAGATGTCCAAAATTCTAGGAAATCTTTTTGGAACAGGATTCAGATTTCAGATTGGTTGCTCCTTTCCTTCAGCAAAGATCACATAACCAAACTCCTAGGACCTTCACTGTGTAGCCCTACCTGGTAAAGCCTGCACAGCCTTTACATGAAAAATGTCCTGGCTTGACCCTGCACTTACCACACATGCAGAGGGGCCTTGGCTGCTATACCTGAATGTGTGATAAGCTCAGTGGCTGGACAGGGAGCTCAGTAACACTGAGCCTGTGATTTTCCCAGGCTCATTCCTAGTGAACAGCACCAAGCATAGAGTGTCTATGTAGGTGCTCCGGCCTCAGTGCTGCCTAAAGCAGCTGGCTCAACTGGATCTATGGTAAGATTGCCCCTTAGCATGGCCATTCTTCAGAATGAATGAGTGCTGCAGCATGCAAATGCATAACCACCTGGTACTCCTTCTTTTCGTGCACAGGATGTGCGGCACCTGACAGGTCTCCAGAGCAAGGTAAGTATTTTACTATGCAACACAGGGGAAACCTTACAGTAAGCACAAAAGAGAAGATATGGGCAACTGTATTGGTGAGATCTCTGTGTTGAGTTTCCAGGTCTGAACACCTTCTATGCCTAATATGAGAGACTCCAACCATCCCTAATAGATATTTGATTTGCTTTATATTATAAAAAAACACAACAGAAAGAGGTAGAATACACAAAAGTAGGTGGGAAACGCCTAAAACTAGTAATTATTCACCTGCAGAGGCTACTTTAATGTATACTTGAAGTCAATTCATTTATACAGGGCATGATGCCAGGTATGGTCACATTCTTGATGGGGTGGGGGGCTGTGGGGGTTGGGCATGATGCCATGTATAGTAACACTTTTGGGGTTGGGGGGGTTGGGCATGATGCCAGGTATGGTCACACTCTTGGGGAGCTGTGGGGGTTTGACATGATGCCAGGTATGGTCACATTCTTGATGGGGTGGGGGGCTGTGGGGGGTTGGGCATGATGCCATGTATAGTAACATTTTTGGGGGTGGGTGGGTTGGGCATGATGCCAGGTATGGTCACATTATTGATGGGGTGGGGGGCTGTGGGGGGTTGGGCATGATGCCATGTATAGTAACACTTTGGGGGGGAGGGTTGGGCATGATGCCAGGTATGGTCACACTCTTGGGGAGCTGTGGGGGTTGGACATGATGCCAGGTATGATCACATGATCGGGGGGGGGGTGTTGTGCATGATATCAGGTATGGTCACACACTTCCTGGGAAGGGGGGGGGTTGTTTCTGATATGCTCACACTCTACTCAGGGTAGTGATGTGGTCAGGGCCAGTGCCAGCATAAGGCTGCTTAGGCAGCCTCCTTAGGGTGCCAGGTTAAGAGGGGGTGGTAAAATCCGAATCCCCATTGCTGGGGATTTAGATTTTTAAAATACCTGTCTTTCATTCCCTAACGCTGCCTCCTCTCTCCTAGAAGGTGCAATACGGAAGTTTTAATTTGCCTCACCTGCCAGCTGCCTGTAGCCTATGGGTGGGAGCAGGGAATGCATAACCCTGCATCCTCATTACACACTGCATATGAGGGTGAGGGGTTGCATTATGGAGGGGACCGGGTGCCAGATAGATGGTGGGGGAGGGGAATGCACCTTCGCCTGTGTAGACCAAAATCCTTGCATAGGCCCTGCATGTACACTGCTCAAAAGAATTAAAGGAATACTTTTTAAATCAGAGTCTAGCATCAAGTCAATGAAACTCCTGAGATACTGATCTGGTCAGTTAAGTAGCAGAGGGGCTTGTTAATCAGTTTCAGCTGCTTTGGTGTTAATGAAATTAACAACAGGTGGACTAGATGGGCAACAATGAGACAATCCACAAAAACAGGAATGATTTTACAGGTGGAGACCACTGACATTTTTTCCCTACTCATCTTTTCTGACTGTTTTTCACTAGTTTTGCACTTGGCTAGGGTCAGTGTCTGTAGGTCAATCATTTTAATTTCCATCAAACAATGGGGCATCTTTACGTTCTTAACACATTACCCAATCCATATCAGCATAGATATCCAGAAGGAGATTTTTCCTCATTGAGATCTGATGTGTTTTCAAAGTGTTCCTCACTATGCAAGGGAGATCTCATTGTTGGAGGATCCAGGACTTACAGAAATACAGATGATGTCGAAGACCACCAGTCTCCACACCTATAAGTAAAATTTGACTTTTGGGTGACACTGTAATATAACTTTCCTTAGGCTGGCCAAACATTATACAATTTTCTTAAGATGTTTGGTTTAGATTTACCAAAAACCATATAATATGAGGTCAAACCTAAACAACACTTCTAATTGTATCTAATTAGGCTGGCTCTTGCACTACATAGTCGAAGGTAAATCTAAAGGAAATTGGGCAGAAATTGGACAGAAAATTGTAAAAAAAAGTGTATGGCCAGCCTTATGCAGGCTATAGATGGGGAGAAAACCGGCCGATTTTTCTTTAAAAAAAAAAGAAAAATCGGTCGTTCAAGCAGCCGACGTTACCAGGAACGGAAAAAAAATTCGGCCGATTTTCATCCCGTCTACAGCCGGCAAAAAGTGTCCCTGCAGAGAGCTCCGCTATTTCTTTGACAGTTCTTTGACATTTATAGTGTCTGCAACAATGTATCTATCTGTATTTGGATACAGATGTTTTTATTCAGAAACAAATAGATACATTGTTGCAACCACTATAAATGTCGAAGCACTGTCAAAGAAATAGCGGAGCTCTCTGCAGGGACACTTTTTGCAGGACTGGAATTCTTCTTCTTCTTCATCCTCTTCTTCTTCTTCCTCTTCTTCATCCTCTTCTTCTTCCTCTTCTTCATCTTCTTCTTCCTCTTCTTCATCCTCTTCTTCTTCTTCTTCCTCTTCTTCATCTCTCTTCTTCATCCTCTTCTTCTTCTTCTTCTGCATCCTCTTCTTCTTCTTCCTCTTCTTCATACTCTTCTTCTTCATCCTCCTCTTCATCTTCTTCATCCTCTTCTGCTTCCTCTTCTTCTTCATCCTCTTCTTCTTCCTCTTCCTTCTTCTTCTTCATCCTCTTCTTCTTCCTCTTCCTCTTCTTCTTCATCCTCTTCTTCTTTTTCTTCTTCTTTTTGTCTTCCTCTTGCAGGTCACTGCTCATGCGCAGATTTTTTATAGGTAAAAAGATCGGCCGATTTGCCCATAATTGCCGCGAAAATCTGCCGATCGGCAAAATCGGAAAAATCTTTTTCCAACTTTATCGAAAAAAAAAAATCTGCCAAAATACCAAAAAATGGCCGAACAATTAGCCCACTAACGATCCGAAAATCGGCCGATTTTATTTTCGGACGAAAAAAATCGGCCGATTTTTGACCCATCTATGGCCTGCATTAGCCTTTAAAACAGAAGTCTGCAGTACCCTGCTGAGCACATTCTTAGTTACACCTGTGCTTTCCAAATCCACAGTGCTGTTCAATGGATGTTAATGGAGGCTGCTCACAATGACAGCCACCATTGTTCTCAGAAGATCTCGGTAAACCTTCCCCAGAGAAATGAGATGCCAGGACATAAATTGTTTTTCAGAGAGGTGGAATATAATATGGAAAACTGAAAAAAAAAAAAAAAACAACTTGTTACCTAAAAATAACAAGCTCTCCTGCCTGACCTCGATTCTGCTTCTAAGTCAGCTCCTCTGGAGAGATTACACCAGCGTAAAACGAAACCTGGACAACGTCCCAGATCTAAGATAGGGCAGACACAATCAGGTTGGGTATCTATGTCGTTCTCCCGGCTCAATCACTGAGTGTTAAACTCACATGCCACCCAGATACACTTTAACTCATAACTCTCATGCAAATTATAAATCCTCAATTATATCTCGCCATCATAAATGTATACTCTCAGATTTGACTCCAGGACTTGTTTGTGTGTGGCAGTTCTAAGGAAAAACTGAATTGATGGCGCTGCAGCCAATCAGATTGCGTCTTTCATTTCACCATAGTTCTCCTAAAAATTTAAAAGAATATGATTAGTTATTGAGGACAGCAAAAAGTCCCCATTCACACTGGAGCTATGGGTTCCTTGGCAGGGCGGACTGACAACTCATGGGGCCCCCAGGCAATAGGGGATCATGGGGCCCCTGTGTCCTTGCCCAAACTCAAAAAAGCCTATGAAAAAGGTACCAGGGGCATCTCATGGGGCCCCCTACTGACCCCGGGCCCTCGGGCAGTGCCCAAGTTTCCAAATGGTCAGTCCGCCCCTGGTCTCTGGATGTTTTTACAGGCAATTTTGTGCACTTTTCATGCTTGAGCAATGTTACGCATGTTTTTCAGACGCATCCACTGAAGTTTATTTGGGGCTAAAGGTGTGATTCTGCCCCAGAAGAAGCTCATGTACTTTTTTGAGTGACAAGCTTCATGTGACACTATGTTCAAGTGTGAACAGGCACCACTGAACATAATGGAAATCCTGGTGTCAAGCAAAGACGTACTTCTGATGAATGCAGGGGCGGACTGACAACTCATGGGGCCCCCGGGCAATAGGGGATCATGGGGTTCCTGTGTCCTTGCCCAAACTCAAAAAAGCCTATGAAAAAGGTACCAGGGGCATTTCATGGGGCCCCCTACTGACCCCGGGCCCTCGGGCAGTACCCAAGTTTCCAAATGGTCAGGCCGCCCCTGGATGAATGATCAAGTTGCGCTTCTGATGAAGCTTCAATTGCACTTCAAATTGCTCAGCTGTGAATAGGATCTCAAAGGTTTTTGGAGTTTAATTCAAAGCGGAACTAAATTTTAAAAAAATACAAACAGGCAGGCTGCTTTTTTCAGAAAAGATATGCAATGTAACATAAAACTACTTGCTTGCTCGCAGTCTTCTCCAGAATGCACATTGAACTGCTGATGTGCAGCTCAGTTTACATCCCCAGGGTACAGAGGGCGCGCCGCCCTAGTGCATTACCTTAAAAATCATTTATTGATAGAAATAATAATTATTGTACTCACAAATGGCAATAATGTCAAAGGCACATCATGGAAGGACAGCTCTGTCCAATCCACACTACGTGACTGTCGTGGACAGTGGACAGTGCTGTTTTTTCACCTGATTTTCTTTTTTTACACTGATTGCTTTTACACCCATAAAGGCTGTAAAAGCAATCATTTCTCCTCTCTGGCTGCATTCTTGCAGCCATTGAGAAATACTGTGTGAACTGTGATTGGTCACAGCTTGTCATATGGTACAAGACTGTTGTGAATAGCCTTGTACCATGTGATCTCTGTGATCATTCAGATAAAACTTTCTTTTGGTGGTATTTATTCACCACTGGGATTTTTTTTTTTTCGTTATATAAATGAAAAAGTTCAAAAATTTTGAAAAAAAAAAAAGTGTTTTTTACATTTTAATTTTTTTTTTATATTATTATTTATGTTTTTGGGGTTTTTTTTCATACTGTCACCCTAGCAGTACAGTGTCACCATAGTGACACTGTACTATTTGTGGGGGGTGATGAAGATTTTTTTTTTTTACACTGATTGCTTTTACACCCATAAAGGCTGTAAAAGCAATCATTTCTCCTTCTCTCTGGCTGCATTCTTGCAGCCATTGACAAATACTGTGAGAGCTGTGATTGGTCACAGCTTGTCACATGGTACAAGGCTGTTGTGAATAGCCTTGTACCTTGTGACCTCTGTGATCATTCACAGAGTTCACACGTAGTAAGCAATGATGTCAGAAGTGACATCTTGCTTACTACTATTCATGTGATCACTGATTGGCCAATCATGGATCACATGAATCGGGACCTCACACAGAGGTCCCGTACAGCGATCTGTGGGAGCGTGCGCAGGCAATGGATGCAGGGGGACGTTTAGAAACGTCCACCTGCATCTGCAGCGCTCCCGCTCCCGTCCCGTTTATTTACATGGGCTGGATGGGAAGAGGTTAAAGAACTTCATTGTTAGGGCATATATACCCTTTGGGCAACACAGTGGCTTAGTGGTTAAAGCGGAGTTCAACTCACCCTGTCAAAAAATAAAAGCAGCTACAAAAACTATAGCTGCTGACTTTTAAAAAACAGCCACTTACCTGTCCCTCGGTCCCGCGGTGTGTCCCCCGCAGGTTGTTTCACCGGCCGTCCTGTATTCCAGGAGGCCGGCATCTTCAGTGTGGGCACCCGGCTGTGACAGCTTGCAGCTTCACATCCGGGTACCCACTGCGCATGCGCGAGTAGTGCTGCGATTCATGAATGGTCCTTTAGTCTTCTGGGACCTGTCACGTGTCCCAAAAGACTACAGGGAGGGAGGACACCTTCCGCTTCCGATTTCCTAGGCGATCGGACTGGAAGTGGGAGCGGGTATTTGTCAAATTCGGGTCCTTACCAACTCCCCAAAGGTGCTCCCCAATGTTGTGTGACATTCTGGGGGACAGTCCCAAGCCTGAGCATTTGGGAGGGTTGAGGAAATGAGGAATGATCAGGTGAACTACTTTGCCAAGAATATTTTACAAAAAAAAGGTTTTCAGGTGTATCAGACACGGTGCCCAGAGTGCTGGCCCATAGGATCACCAAGAGTCAAATACAACCAAATATACAGGCGTACCTCGGTTTACAACGCCTCAGTTAACATAATTTTCGGTTTCTGAATGAAAATCCATTGAAAATAATGCCTCGGTTTGCAAATTTTTTTCACAATACGAAGTAAGTTTCCCCAGGATGCATTGCACCTGGGAGGGTTTATAGCGCCGCCCCTTGCCTTTAAAGTGCACTTTATAAAGAGTTTTGAACAGTAAAGACTTTTTTGGACTTTTTTCTGACCTCCGGAACGGATTAATTGGTTTTCAGTGCATTCCTATGGGAAACCGCATTTCGGTTTACGAATTTTTTGCAATACGAAAAGTCCTGCAGAATGAATTAAATTCGTAAACCGAGGAACGCCTGTATTTGGACTTGATTTGGGATTATATGTTGATTTTTTTAAACTTTTTTCTTTACTTATGTACCCATTTGTAATCAACAATGGTTTAGCGCAGCAATCTATTTATATTTAACTGTAAAAAGATTGTTTTGCCAGCAGCATACTTTTTTTTTTCACTTTTTGCGTGACTTTTTTGTTATTTTTTTATTATCTGTGGTAACCTGCTGCAGCCAATCAGAAATGGCCTTGTCAGATCAGAACGGATTAATTGGTTTTCAACGCATTCCTATGGGAAATCGCGTTTCGGTTTATGAATTTTTTGCAATACGAAACGTCCCGGAGAACACATTAAATTTGTAAACCGAGGTACGCCTGTATATCCTAGATTCTAAGCTCTGAGGAGCAGGGCCTTCCTATCCCTCTTGTATTGAACTGTATAGTCTCCCGTTATATTGTAAAGTGCTGAGCAAACTGTTGGCGCTATATAAATCCTGTATAATAATAATAATATATAAATCCTGTATAATAATAATAATATATAAATCCTGTACAATAATAATAAATAAATCCTGTATAATAATAATATATAAATCCTGTATAATAATAATAATAATATAAATCCTGTACAATAATAATAATAATATATAAATCCTGTATAATAATAATAATATATAAATCCTGTATTATAAAATAATATATAAATCCTGTATAATAATAATATATAAATCCTGTATAATATTAATATATAAATCCTGTATAATAATAATAATATTATTAATAATAATAATAATAATATATAAATCCTGTATAATAATAATAATATATAAATCCTGTATTATAAAATAATATATAAATCCTGTATATAATAATAATATATAAATCCTGTATTATAAAATAATATATAAATCCTGTATAATAATAATATATAAATCCTGTATAATATTAATATATAAATCCTGTATAATAATAATAATATTAATAATAATAATATATAAATCCTGTATAATAATAATAATATATAAATCCTGTATTATAAAATAATATATAAATCCTGTATAATAATAATAATATATAAATCCTGTATAATGATATAAAATATATAAATCCTGTATAATATTAATATATAAATCCTGTATAATAATAATATATAAATCCTGTATAATAATAATAACAATAATAATAATATATAAATCCTGTATAATAATAATATATAAATCCTGTATAATAATAATAATAACAATAATAATAATATATAAATCCTGTATAATAATAATATATATTTAATTATTTCCAAGTAGCCCCTTCTGCTTCCAAATACTTATTCAGGTCCTTTGCATGTATAACCTTACGTCTTACTAAAATTCCAAGGTGTCATGATAAATTCACTTTAAATAGCAGAATGATCCTGCGTCTTGAGAGTTTGTATAGTACAGAGGGAGGTGTGTTGTGGAGGAGGTAATGGTAGACTCCCAGAGAGGCTCACATAGAGTAACACACAAGGTCACATTCATGAGGCCGCACTGTGATCTGTAACCTGCCTAGCAGGAGACTGAACTGGGAGAACAGATGTATTGATTACTATCCATTACCTTGTGCTACATAAAGGAAACTTATCAATGAAATGCATGCAAAGCCAGTAAGTCACCTGAATGTAAAATCCTTAAAAACACTGAAAAGATACAATTTCCCAGAAACCTTCAGGATTTACTTACAGCTGAAATCAGGGTATCAAAACTAAGTTTAAAAATATTCTTTAATAGCCAAAAAAGGATCTGAAACCACTTTAATTGCACCAAATGCCTTTGCAAATCCAAATATTACCTAACTCCCGGTTCACATCTATGCAGCCGCGCGGGCCGCGTTTTGCACGGGCACGAGAGCCCATTCATTTGAATGGACTCCTGTGCCCGTGACACGCAGGGAAAGAAGTCCCTGCACTACTTCCGAAAATGCAGCCCGCACTGGAACCTCTGTTCCCAGTACGGTTGCGTTTTCCAGTGCGGACGGCGTGTGCTGTTAGAACTATTGGCACCCACCCGCGGGTCCGCATTTCTCTGTGCAGGTGGTGCGGCTGCACGTATTTTTGTGCGGATCCACAGCGGCACCACCCACAAAGATGTGAACCTAGCCTTAAGCCCTCATGCACACGGGACGTTTTTTCAGCGGCTGTTTTTGGCTTTTGATGTTTTTTTTCTACAGCCAGTAAACCCCCCCAGCATGTTATCCTATGTGTCCATCCCCAGCATGTTATCCTATGTGTCCATCCCCCATGTTATCCTGTGTGTCCATCCCCAGCATGTTATCCTATGTGTCCATCCCCAGCATGTTATCCTATGTGTCCATCCCCAGCATGTTATCCTATGTGTCCATCCCAGCATGTTATCCTATGTGTCCATCCCCGGCATGTTATCCTATGTGTCCATCCCCGGCGTGTTATCCTATGTGTCCATCTCCAGCATGTTATCCTATGTGTCCATCTCCAGCATGTTATCCTATGTGTCCATCCCCGGCATGTTATCCTATGTGTCCATCTCCAGCGTGTTATCCTATGTGTCCATCTCCAGCATGTTATCCTATGTGTCCATCCCCAGCATGTTATCCTATGTGTCCATCCCCAGCATGTTATCCTATATGTCCATCCCCAGCATGTTATCCTATATGTCCATCCCCAGCATGTTATCCTATGTGTCCATCCCCAGTATGTTATCCTATGTGTCCATCCCCAGCATGTTATCCTATGTGTCCATCTCCAGCATCTTATCCTATGTGTCCATCCCCAGCATGTTATCCTATGTGTCCATCTCCAGCATCTTATCCTATGTGTCCATCCCCGGCGTGTTATCCTATGTGTCCATCCCCGGCATGTTATCCTATGTGTCCATCTCCAGCGTGTTATCCTATGTGTCCATCCCCAGCATGTTATCCTATGTGTCCATCCCCAGCATGTTATCCTATATGTCCATCCCCAGCATGTTATCCTATGTGTCCATCCCCAGTATGTTATCCTATGTGTCCATCCCCAGCATGTTATCCTATGTGTCCATCCCCGGCGTGTTATCCTATGTGTCCATCTCCAGCATGTTATCCTATGTGTCCATCCCCAGCATGTTATCCTATGTGTCCATCCCCAGCATGTTATCCTATGTGTCCATCCCCAGCATGTTATCCTATGTGTCCATCCCCGGCATGTTATCCTATGTGTCCATCCCCAGCATGTTATCCTATGTGTCCATCTCCAGCATGTTATCCTATATGTCCATGCACACATAGACTGGAATCAACGTTTTTTGGCAGGGACATTTTTTGGCTGGAAAAAAAACCCAGGACTAGTGGGTTTCTAGAGGAGTTTTTTAGCTGTAAAACCGCTCTAACGCTGAAAAACGCGGTAAAGCATGGTAAAACGCCACAAACCGACATTTTTTTGGACTTTTTTTGACCCCCCCCCAAATTTTTTTTTTTGGGTAGAAAAAAATGCTAAAAACGCAAACGTGGAAAAATGCAGGAAAACACCACTAAACCTGGCAAAACGCTACTAAACGCTAATGCAAAAATGCAAAAATAAGCGGAAAAAAACTCTACACAGCTAACATTACCAGCGTTATCAAAACATCCCGTCTGCATGAGGACTAAAAATTAGCAGTGGCATCATCACTGTGCAGTACATAGCTTGTGCAGAAAGCAAAGCTGAGGGAGGGACCCAGCAGGCCCAACCCACTACAGATTGCCTGCAGAAAACTACAGGAGGGGCGGAGACCAGACCAGCCACCCTGCTCAAGGAGAGAGAACAACAGTGACCGGTCTTTATTACAGGAAGCTCCTGCACAGAAGTAAAGTGCAGAAGTTTTTTGTAGTTAAAGTCATAGACACAACAGGAAGTGAGAGAAAAGCTCTTAGATGTCACTGAAACAAGTGTCCCCACTGGAAGATTTCTCCTCTATTCCTGTTCTAGTGACCGCTCAGTATTTTGGATTTTCTTTCACATTTGGTGATAACAGTCACCAGGCCAAACAGGAAGGATGGATCTCCCTGATGACATGTTGACAGCATTACAAACCTGATAGGGGTTCTAATCTCTCCCCACTTTAAAGCCGGTCATACACGGGTTGAATTCCGCAAGAAATTTTTTTTCGAAAATATTTTCTAAGAATTTTCATTCGAATTTGGCACCATTAGTGGGCCACAGAAACAGACGATTTTCGTGTAACCATCGAATCTGAGTGATCAGGCATGTTGGAAATTTTTTTTTAAAAATGAACAAATTCCGAATCAATGATGGGAGAATCGTGCGAGAAATATAAATGAAAAAGAAATAAGCGTGAGCTGTGACCTGGAAAGAAAGGAAATTTCTTGGCCACAAAAAATTCTTTTCTGTAGCAACACGAGGTGAAATTGAAGGCTTGGTTGGTTGAATTACGAAATCAATGGTGGCGCCATCAGATTACAAAACGCACTAAATTTCCAATTTTCTAAACAAAATTAGCTCGGAATTTGAGCTATGTATACTTGGCCTGCATAAGGTCCTGTTCACATGGGTGTAGCTCAAAATTTTGGATTTCCATCGCTTTCAGTCCTGGTGACAATGGGTCTGGGTGTGGGCGGTGATAAGGAACACTGTTGCTGGCGTACACTGTTCTGGTGACAATGGGTCTGGTGCGGCGGTGATAAGGAACACTGTTGCTGGCGAACACTGTTCTGGTGACAATGGGTCTGGTGCGGCGGTGATAAGGAACACTGTTGCTGGCGTACACTGTTCTGGTGACAATGGGTCTGGTGCGGGCGGTGATAAGAACACTGTTGCTGGCGTACACTGTTCTGGTGACAATGGGTCTGGTGCGGCGAACACTGTTGCTGGCGAACACTGTTCTGGTGACAATGGGACTGGTGTGGCGGTGATAAGGAACACTGTTCTGGTGACAATGGGACTGGTGTGGCGGTGATTAGGAAAACTGTTGCTTGCCGCACTGGTCAGGAAAATGTAAAACTATCCCTTGCAGTGGGACTTGCAGTGGGACTGGACTGTACCTGCACTGCGAGGTTGATTGTTCATTTTGTCTAACAGAGAGAAAAAAAAACCTTTTACTTACCTGATTCTCCACTTCCCCAGCAGATGGCGCTCCTCCATGCTCCGGTGGTGAACTGTCCAATTCAGGGCTTTGCACCCTGCTTTGGTTTAAATGACATCCTCCACCGCTGGAACCTGGAGGAGAAAAGGCTACAAGGACCAGTCTAGGGAAGAGCAGAAGATCAGGTACAGGGGTGGACTGACCATTCGAGCACTCGGGCAGTGCCCGAGGGCCTGGGGTCAATAGGGGGCCCCATGAAATGCCCCTTGCACCTTTTTATAGGCTTTTTTGGGTGTGCTTTGAGTGTGGGCAAGGACACAGGGGCCTCATGATCCCCTATTGCCCGGGGGCCCCATGAGTTGTCAGTCCTGCCCCTGATCAGGTAAGTATATCTGCTTTTCAGTGGCCCCCTAGCCCTAAACGGGTAAACTATCCCTTGCAGTGCAGGTGCAGCTCCACTTCAAGGGATTCATTTTTGTAGTGGCCTGGAGTTGGGCTTTAACTCTGAAGAGGAAAGTGATTTTTTTGCTCCTGTAGCCCTGGCCTAGGATAGGACACAGGTTTGGGACACATCATTGAGATTATAATATTTGGTTCATTATTTTTATTTATTACAGGTATTTATATAAAGCCAACAATTTACACAGTGCTTTACCAGGGGCAGACTGACAACTCATGGGGCCCCCGGGCAATAGGGGATCATGGGGCCCCTGTGTCCTTGCCCACACTCAAAGCACACCCAAAAAAACCTATAAAAGGTACCAGGTGCATTTCACGGGGCCCCCTACTGACCCCGGGACCCCTTGGGCAGTGCTCGAGTGCTCGAATGGTCAGTCCACCTCTGTTCTTTACATGTTGTTTATACACGAGTTCCACTTTAAAAATGGCAAACTGTGTTTCCACTGAGCAGCTCATATATATTTTGTATATTGTGTTTTTTTTTTAACTGTGTAGAAATTACATTTCGCAATGGGCTCTATTACAGCTGGGGTGCCTTTGGTGGCCAGTGTCCGGGCTGGGCCGCGTGCTCACTAAGTATTTGAGAAATACACAGCATGAATGCACTTTGTTTCATACACAGATATATGAGCTCTGAGTAATTAATAATTAAAGGGAAGCTTAGCTTCTTTGCTGCTTTTATAATCAACAGCATGTACTATCCGCCAACTGCAGCTGAACCCGGATGGATTGTCAGCCTAATCCATGCATTTCTATGGCAGATGGGTTTTTGTCAAAATGCCTCAGAAATCAAGCAAGAAACTTTTAGATACACACCGGATGAAAATGCAGACATGTCAGCAGTCCCAATGGCCATAATGGCCTAGACTCTGACGCCATAAAGTCTATATCCAGGCAAAGTTCTTCCCCCTGCCATCCCTTGTGCCCACCCCCCACGCATAGCTAGGTAAATAAATACCTTTGTTATACTCATCTAAGTCCACTGTCTGTGTCCATCATCCACACTGCTTCTGGGAGTGATGACCAGTGGTTCCGGAGCTGTAAGCTATGCCCATGCCGAATGGTCACATCTTCAAGATGTTGTCATACCACTACTATATGGTGAAAGGACCTTTGTGTACACCAAAAGAAGAGCCCTCCTCTGCTGAGAAGATAGAAGACACAGGACCCGACCCATCAGGTCGGGTACACCAAAAGAAGAGCCCTCCTCTGTTGAGAAGATAGAAGAGACGGGACCCGACCCATCAGGTCGGGTACACCAAAAGAAGAGCCCTCCTCTACTGAGAAGATAGAAGACACGGGACCCGACCCATCAGGTCGGGTACACCAAAAGAAGAGCCCTCCTCTGCTGAGAAGATATAAGACACGTGACCCAACCCATCAGGTCGGGTACACCAAAAAAAGAGCCCTCCTCTGCTGAGAAGATAGAAGACACATGATCCGACCCATCAGGACCCGACCCATCACACAATCAAAGATTTCATATTTTGGGCTCCTAGGGATAGGAATCAGCCTACGTCTGTAGCCCCTGTCCTCGTTATTTTCACCCTCAGGCCTGGGAGAAATAAAGCTCCAGACACCAAAGTGTGCAAGCTAAATCTCTGAAAGTTTAATGCATGACAAGAAACGGTTATACAGAACTAAGTAGGCGTTGCTTAATCTCAGGATGACCAATGAAACATTCCACTCTTATCAATATAGTTACGTGAAGAACAGAGACTGCAAATAGTTGAGGGGTACCATATAAGGTAGTTCTGTTTACAGAAATGAAACTAGTCTAAGAAAACGAGAGCGAAGGTACAAATCCGAAACTAACTGTTCACACATCTAAAAATGGAGGCATTATACAAAATGAATGGCAGTTAATAGGACATATTTCCTTACACTTAGCTTAGTTTGTTTATTTAGGCTAACCCACAAATGACCCAAATTGCATATTATTCCACAGCTCTTAACCTCCCTAGCGGTATGATTATTTCAGATTTTTGGTGCCGAAAGCGGTACCATTATTCTGCATGGAAATATGTATTTTTTTTTATTGTAGGCTGTAATATTTAGGAATAACTCACTGAAATCTGTCCGAACAAGAGTCTATTAAACATCCCGGGTATGATAAAACTTGAAACACAAAATCATAAATTATAATTTAATAAATAATCATAAAAAATAATAATATAATAATATTACATTTAATTCAATAATATAATCAAACCAAAAACACTGAAATTTGAAATATAGCGCCAAGTTTGCACATTGCTGAGCAAAGTCGCAAAATCGTTTTCAGTATCTGATGACGAATTTCCCCACGAATCATTATCACTCAATTCTGCAAGTGGTTCTAATTTACTATCGCTGTTCTCTAGCCGGTCTAAACCCGCTTTTGACCTAAAGGGACACTTTTTGGACGCCATTGACTTTTCTAAGTTTCCAGGCAGAAAGAATATTCAAAATGCAGACAGGGGACAGGACAAAGCACTCGGGACAAAATGTATGTGAAATGGGTTGAAACAGCAATGTTTTACTATGTAAAATCGTTTTTAAAAAAAATGACATTTTTTTTACATTTTCAAATTTCCCGCCGCCGTTGGCGCCCGTACGTCCCGATGTCACAGGGACAGGAACACAGGAGCCGGATGCCGGCATCTGCCGGAGGAGATGGCCGGGGACGCTGCAGGGGACACATCACTGGAGCGAAGGACAAGGTAAGTGCTGCAGGGACTCCCTATACAGCGCTGCATGGTAAGCCCGAGTGTAGCTCGGGGTTACCGCTTTTGGTACAGACATTTTACCCCAAGCTACACTCGGGAATACCGTTAGGGAGGTTAACTATAACATATGTGTGAATGGCCAACAAATACTATACAGTATAATGAACCTCCTGAAGACGTCATTTCGACGAAACACGCTGGGGCAGAGTTACAGGAAGTGATGTCATTCCGCTACATATACCCAGAAGTGACAAGACAGGAAGTCCCGGGAGAGAGAGCCACATTCACACCGTGGCTGGTGGAGCCTGCCTCTAATGTTGTGTATGTGTCACTCCTGGTGCAGTGCTATGCATTTTAACATGTGAGTGGTTGTATTTTATTTTATCAATGAGATTTTAAATAAAATGGTTTTACATTATATAAACTTTTCCTTCTTTCCTTTCCTTACCTTGGCTCATGTGGTAAGAGTATTGTGCTAAAGCCCGCTGTCAGCTGACATCACAGAGCTGGTCCAGGCTGGGGAAGAATCGTGACCATATAGTCGCGATCCACCCAGAAACCTGGAATGGTTCCAGGCCCAGCCTCTCAGCAAGACACTGAGAGCCTGAGCAAGCAACTCCCACCCTCTTCACAGCCCAGCTCTCCAGTGAGTGCTTGGGGGGGAGAGCAGAGCAGAGAGCTGGAGACTGACAGTCACCACTATCTGTTCAGAGTGGCAGGGAGAACTGAGTGATCAGCGGTATTTGATTGCTCAGTTCTCACCCTTAGAGCCATCGGGGATCGATGCTGCATCCACCTAGGTAAGTATGATTTAAGAAATAAAAAATCGAAAGCCATACTTCTCTTTTAAGTTCCAAATGACTAGGAATATGAATAATTAGATGGCAAGAAGAGTCAAATTATATGATCTCCATGTATAATACATAAGGGGGGATATGATCTCCATGTATAATACATAAGGGGGGATATGATCTCCATGTATAATACATAAGAGGGATATGATCTCCATGTATAAATACATAAGGGGGGATATGATCTCCATGTGTAATACATAAGGGGGGATATGGTATAATACATAAGGGGGGATATGATCTCCATGTATAATACATAAGGGGGGATATGATCACCATGTATAATACATAAGGGGGGATATGATCACCATGTATAATACATAAGGGGGGATATGATCTCCATGTATAATACATAAGGGGGGATATACATGTATAATACATAAGGGGGGATATGATCTCCATGTATAATACATAAGGGGGGATATGATCTCCATGTATAATACATAAGGGGGATATGATCACCATGTATAATACATAAGGGGGGATATGATCTCCATGTATAATACATAAGGGGGGATATGATCTCCATGTATAATACATAAGGGGGGATATGATCTCCATGTATAATACATAAGGGGGGATATGATCTCCATGTATAATACATAAGGGGGGATATGATCACCATGTATAATACATAAGGGGGGATATGATAACCATGTATAATACATAAGGGGGGATATGATCTCCATGTATAATACATAAGGGGGGATATGATCTCCATGTATAAGACATAAGGGAGGGATATGATCTCCATGTATAATACATAAGGGGGGATATGATCTCCATGTATAATACATAAGGGGGGATATGATCTCCATGTATAAGACATAAGGGAGGGATATGATCTCCATGTATAAATACATCAGTGGTTCATATAATGAACTCAGTGTAGAGCTATTCACTCTGAGGTCATCACAGAGGACAAGGGGGCACTCTCTACGTCTGGAGGAAAAGAAATGTAATCTCCGAACACGGAAAGGTTTCTTCACAGTGAGAGCTGTGAAAATGTGGAACAGACTCCCTCAAGAGTTGGTTCTGGCCAGCTCTGTGGATTGCTGTAGGAAAGTCCTGGATTATTTCTTGGATACACAGAATATAACTGGATATAACATTTATAGGTAAAGTTGATCCAGGGAATATCCGATTGCCTCCCTGGGGATCAGGAAGAAATTGTTTTCCCTGAAGGAGCAAATTGGATCATGCTTTGCTGGGTTTTTTGCCTTCCTCTGGATCAACTGTGGGTGTAGGATTCTAACTTTTTTTTTTAATGGTTGAACTGGATGGACTTTTGTCTTTTTCAGCCAGACTAACTATGTAACTATGTAAAGTAGCATTGAAGTCACACTGAAGTTGCATCAAGTCGCAGGCGCACTGGAAGTCGCATGATTTTGGGGGTTGCAGCAGAGTGAACCAAGCCTTGGCTTACCATGGAAAGACAACAATAAAAACAATAGTCCTGGACCTGTGGTTGTGACCTTTATGTACGTCCACCATGGATTTGTGGTTTGCTTGAAAAGTGCTTTTAGCTGTTTAAGCTGTATGACACCATTTGTTCAGAAAGGAGGATCTTTACAATTGATAAACAGTTTCCATTGTACAGCTCTTAGTATCTACTCTCTGTTATGTACATTTTTAAGTTCATTTATGGAATTAAAAATAAAGCTCAGAGGATTTTACTTAAACTGGATTTGCCTAGAGTACATTTGCAG